TACCCGAAGAGCTATTGAGCCAAAGTGGTTTGGAAGGGATAGACGATCAAATCCAGTTTCGTGAGGCGATTGGAAAACTATTGGGATTTTCGCTAGTTACGGCCATCGCACAGGAGGACAAGACATTTTATGAGCTACATCGATTGGTGCAACTGTCTTTGCAAGTGTATTTACCAGCAGAGGAATTGAGTCGATGGAAGGCCATTGCGCTGGGAGTAGTTTCAAAGTTGTTCCCTCGGCGGTGGACCACGTGGAGAGATCTTGGTCCTACGTACATTCCACATGCGCTTGCAGTAACCAAAGGTTTTACGGATCCCATAGCCGAAGCGCTGTGTTTTCATCTAGGACGGTACTTGCAGCGTATGGGTTCCTACAATAATGCCGAAAGTCAATTGCGTCGATGTATTGCGCTTCGGGAAGAGTATAAAGAACATGACTGGGATGAGGAGGGTCCGAGGAGAGTTATATGCCTGGGTTCGATAAGCATAAATCAAGGAAAGTCAAATATGGCCGAGGACATGCTTCGGAGGTTATTAGCGGATATTGGGAAATCATTGAACCCAAATCATCCGATCGTCCAGGACGCAATTCAACATCTCGCTTGGGCGCTATCCAGCCAAGGAAAGTACGACGAATCAGAGAAGATGCATCGGCATGCACTGGAGGGGCACGAGAAGATTCTTGGACCAGACCACAAAAACACCCTACAAAGTGTCAACAACGTGGCTGCGGTGCTGCAATGCCGAGGGAAGTACGACGAATCAGAGAGGATGCATCGGCGTGCACTGGAGGGGGCCGCGAAGATTCATGGACCTGACCACCCAAACACCCTAACTGGTGTCAGCAACCTAGCTAGGGTGCTGGTATCCCAAGGAAAGTACGACGAATCAGAGAAGATGCATCGGCGTGCACTAGAGGGGCACGAGAAGATTCTTGGACCAGACCACCCTGACACCCTGACAAGTATCGTCTGCGTGGCTGCGGTGTTGCAACCCCAAGGAAAGTACGACGAATCAGAGAAGAT